ATTTTGGCCTCCAGTAGCAACATTTTTAAGAGTTCATGTGTAAATTCAGTTTTATTATTTATCAAACATGTTTAAAGACGTGAGATGAAAGCAGAAAAAAAAATTGACCTAAATAGAAATTCTTTACATCAGTTTAAATTCTTGACAGAAAAAGAGATAAAATATGTATTTTTGGTGTTTTTTTCTGTTAGATTATTCATCCTTTCATTTATTTATGTATTGGACTTATTATAACTTGTGATGTACATGTAAAAAATGTAGCTTTTTGGATATTTTGTTTTTGACTCCAGTYATTCCATCTTTCAGCATCGACCTGGACCAGCATGTCTCACAACCTCCCAGCTTCTCACTGCTTTCTGTTTTAAAGCCCGTCTCTCCAGCATCGTGAATCAACTGCTCGATTCCTGCATTGACAGCATCTCTGTGCTCCGTTTGAATGAAGAAGGCTGCCACAAGGCGAAGCTCTTATCTGTAGATTAAAAGCAGAGATGTGTCAGAGACTTACAGCATCTCTCCATTTTCAATCAACTGGATGTTAAGGAAAACTTGATGAAGGCTTATTGATCTGCTGATTGTGAGAGGGCCTCTGAGTGGACCGCTCCATCAGTATTTCTCTGCTTCCCCAACGAACTGAGCTGCACTAAAAGCAGCTCGATCCGTTTCTCTGCAGGTGGCCCCAGACTTGTTCATTTTCCCCTCGTAGCTTTTATTTATCTCACCTTGTAGTTCTTATTTTTCTCACAATCCTTGAAATGCAGACTGTCGGGCCAATAATGGTATTTTTAAAAAATGGCATATCGATTCTAAGAAAAGTTCCCGCTGTAAGAGCTTGAAAGGTGAAGATAAAAAGGAGTAGCAGATCAGAAGTCATTCAGTTCTTCAGACTGCATCCTCAACAGAACCATTGAAGAATAATGTGTGTTAATTTCTGTGTTGAACCACGGTTTTGTTCTGTTTTCTAAAACTTGTCATTGGAGTATCTTAAGGTCTTGTTATCCACAGTGACAGCTTCAGCCGAGTACGATGTAGGGAACATGTGTTCTTGAAACAAGAAGAAACAGATGGTGTAATTATCAGAGCTGCTGCTCTAGTTGCTTGGTGGGTTGAACCTACTTAATTGTTCAGGTGGCAGAATGTTTCACACTCTTAAAGACAAACACAGAGGTCCAGATCTTAGTTAAAATCTTTACAAAGCTAAAGAGAAAAATAAATGGTAAACAGACTTTTTCATAATGATGCTTTAAGTAAAAAAAAAATTTCACGAGAAAAACATTGTAATGCGAGTTCACCTTTTGCCACAAAGTACCAAAGATTAAGATTACAGTTGATAATCCACTGAAGAATAGTTCAGCTCTAAAAAAACCAATAGTTTTCTGAAACATTTACGTTGTGGAGAACTTTGGAGAAGAAATTATTATGACCAGACTGATAACAGCTGGTGAAAGTGGGGCTAACATCAAAGTGTGTTCAAAGATCTGAATCCTCACTTTAAGACTTTGTTGCTTTTCATCTACTGAAGAGCTTGCCAATTAAATGTTTCTTTATTAGTTTAAAGGAGAAACAACAGCAGCAGAAATCTCTAAACCCCAGCTTGGACAAGCATGTCTTAGTGCAGGAGTGTCAAACTCATTTTCATCAAATGAGCATCATAGTGGTCCAGTTGTAATTAACTCAGTGTTGGTGTTTAACTTCTACTAAACAGGARTCATCGCGTTCCTTTTCTCATTACAGCGACCGAGCACCGTTAAACAATAACTGAGCTCTACCTGGTATTTTCTGCATAGAAACTGTGTTTTAACATGTCCTCATAAACACTGAAAAGGTCTACGTCAGGGGTCACCAATAGGCGGACCTGGGTCCGGATCCGGACCGGAATGACGTCTCATGCGGACCCTTACCCAATGTCAAARCAGAGATCACCACTTAAAACTTGAATGAGCACGTGTAATGCTGCATTCAGATCTAACGAGATTTGAGTGTCGGGGCATCGGGTTTACATACAAATCTATGGTGGGGCATTGAGAAGTGTTGCTGTKTGTTTTGAAGCATTTGATGCATGAAGCGCATCCAAAGAGGCAGAAACTTGAGGTGGAAAATCTGAAATTTAGCAGTTAGAAATGGAGTGTCAGCCACATTTAGCCATGTGTGACGTAGTGGCACATTTTCAGACGGGATAATCTCCTGAATGATGCCCACTAAACTGAGACAGATGGACAGGAGCTCTCCAGCTGAAATCAAGCACCTGTAGTTGATGTCCTGGCAGAAGATATGGGCATCGATGGGAGTCAGCAACCCAGTCAAACTGTGCTCAGGACAAAACAATGCGCTGAATGCAACACTCAGCACACAGCTCCTGGAGTGGTGAAACTCACCAAACTCAGAACTCCTCTGAATTATCTGGTGAATCCAAGGTGCCCAACGACAACGTCCTCTGGCTGTCAGTAAATAAAGCCATGCCACTCTCTCAGTTTCATCTGTCATTGTACAGAGACCGGCAAAGAAGGCTCCTCTCAACGTGCACCTTGATGTGTGAATAGAGCGATTTTGACGAGTATCTGACCTCAAAGTGCACAAGCGTCCAACTCGAGTCATTGGACACATTTTTGACGCGCAAAACGTGTTCGGTCTGAACACAGCATAAACCAGTTACATGCACAGGTTTTGCAGTCTTTACAGTAGTGGTCAAGTGTTGGAGACAGAGGAAAGGATGGAGAAGGTGGGGGGGACAGAAATAGAGAAGGAAATATACAGGCGGGTGAGAAAGGATGGAGAAAACTGTTAGTTGAGATGGAGAAGGGGAGAAAAACTGGAGAGTTAACAAAAACAAATACAAAACAAAAAATACAATTAAAAAAAACAGGAAAAAAATAATGGCATCAAAAAAAAAGGACAGCGAAAATAGAGCATTTAATCCAGGATGGACAGAGTCATTTTTTTATACTTGCCACTGGAACAAAACCAGTGACTTACATGTTCAGAAATGCAACACTTATTAAAAATGGCAATGTTTAATGCCATTATGAAACAAAGTATAAAAGTTTTGAACAAATGTACTAAATCAACATGTACAGTTGTCATGTATTTAGTTTCTTATTTTGACATGTTCATTATACTTTTACTCAGTAAGAGAACATAAAACATCAGACTTTAGAATTTCATGTTCATCTTTTTGTTACGCGACAATAAATATTGAAAAAGTATTTGAATTAGACTGAATTAATTAAATTTTATGTGCAAATCAATTTGTGTGGATGTTGAAACAACTACTGAGCTACTTAAATATATATATAACTTTAAACAGTAATCTTATGGACCTTGGTCTTAAGAAATTTTCTCTGATTGGACCCATTAAAATTTTAATTGAATACCCCTGGTCTACATGGATGACTGACTAAATGTGGAAAAAATACAGAAGAACTATTAAAAATAAGAGTTTTACTTCTTGGATTTTGAACTATCCCAGTCGACAAGAACTTTACAATGGAGTCGCGTCCCAATTTTAATTTATGATTTGTAAGTAGGAAATTTCCACTTCCCACTACAACTGGGCTACTGGAAGGCCCTTTCCCAATCAGTGGCTACACCCTCGCCCTACTCCCTACAAACTACACTCGCTGTGAAGCACCCTCACAGCTGAACTGAGTCTCTTTGATGGCACTGCACACCCTCCTCTTTTGAGACGAGCTCTCCTSACACCACCGGAACAGGAAGCTGTCGTCACCATGGTAACAGTCCAACCTCTGGCAGCGACTGAATGCAGGAGAACAAACGCTTTTTTTAATAGGACCAAAGAAAAATATTTAATTAGGCCCACATTTTAGAGAGTTTTCAGATATGACTGTATTTGTAACAAACACTGTGTGATAACTGATCAAAATATTTGCACTTTTAACATTTTTTTAATAATTTATTTTTTCTTTACTTTTTAAATGTTTCCGTTCTTCTTTTTTTAATATGGACCAGAGTTCTGTCTTTAATAAAGTTTGAATTGAATTAAACATGATTTATGGGAAATTGTATTTGTTGGTGAGGTGTTTACTTAGTAAATACTGTATGTGTACAAAACATATGCAGAACTTATATTTATACGTCCCRTGCTCCATGTTGACCACTATTTGGTGCTGCACCTGCTGCTCAAGTCTGCACTGGATGTAGACTCGCTGTGGAGGGCTTAATAAGCCACTCGCCCTCGTACCTAATTGGTTTCAGATAGGACTTGATTTGGACAACCCTTCGTGTGAACGCGCAAACTGAGTGAGTAGGGASTAGGGCGAGTGTGTAGCCACCGATTGGGAAAGGCCCGAAATGTACCAACAAAAATGCAGCGAAATGGAGATTTTAAATGGTGAATTTTGCCTGCTGACACTTAATTTTAAAACATGTGCACCTCCACCTAGTGGTGAGATGCTGCCATTTGAAGTTCTTTGGGCCACATAAAATATTGTTGGGCCACACTTGGCCTGTGGACCATGAGTTTGCAAATGTTGAACATGTTATCAGTAAAAATAAAATAAAAACACAAGATTTTATTCTTTGCTGCAGTGATTTTGTGACAATTAGTGTTCAAAATTAAAACACTTTTTGCAACAACAATGCTGAAAACTGCAGAACAGACTTGCTTTATTAACTAGCTAGAAATCCATTTAATACGTTAAAAATTCCAACAACCTCAATCCTTCAAAGGCTCACTGGATTGTTGAACGGCTTGCTCTCAGACCTCCTGCAGTGGTTCAGTGTGCTGCAGTAGTTATGACCYAACATGACTGAATGAACAAAGCTGTTTGGAAATCACCTCGCTGGGGGAAGATAYGGAAATAGTTTTTTTGCTGCAGTAACTGACTAAATGGTTTCTTTGCTCAGTTGTCTGTTATGTACAGGCTCAACATTCCCTTTGAGTTTAGGAGCAGCGTTAAGTGGGTGCAAAGTCTTTAAAAAAATGGTCTAATACAAGGAATGGACTGTACATAAGAGACAAAGCTGCCAGTGTTCAAAATGAAGCATTAAAGGGACTTCAGAGAATCTCCAGCACTATTGATTGAAACCACTCTAAAGTTTAAAGTGCTCATCAGATCTTTTTTAAAACAAATAAAGTGGCTCCACTACCTGCAGTGATGTTACCTGTAGGCTGCGTCGGATTTATACTGATTCACGTGTTGCCCAATCAGTTCTGTTTTTATGAGTGTTATTCATCTGAAGTAGACATTAGGAAACAACTGAAAACACAAAAATATGATCAGCCCACATTTTCACCTCRTTTAGTCAGGGCCAGAGCCTAGCAACAGGTCTGAAGCACAGCAACAGCATCCGTGGAGTCAGTTCAGCTGTTCAGACTTTCTGACTCTGTGCCGGAGGACATAAACACAGATGCACTTCATCACTAGGACGCAGCACTTGTGTGTATGTGTGTGTGAGAGAGATTGCGTGTCATCGAAGACTGAATATTTTCGAGTGCAGTTCATTTGAGCTGAGTGTTTTATCGTGAGTGTTGGTCTAAAATATGAACCTGGCTGCTGAGTTTGCTTCGCTGCTGCCTGTCCTCTCTGCATGCTGCAGAGTCTGTAGGT